AATGGTGATGCAGAGGTGAAGGAGGAGCTCAAAGTTAGGTAAGAAATTCTCCACTTGCAGATTCTCTTCCAGTAATGAAAACATAAATGCACATGTAGCCTGCATGTTGACACATAGACATAACTACAAAATTAACATTGAAATACTGGGGCTGAAAGAGTCTAAGTTCTCTTATCAGATCCTCTACCAAGTGACTAGATAGCTCTTGATCCCAGCCAGGTCAGCTCCAGGTCCGCTCTTTTCTAATTTATAGAGTCATCAAAATGAGAGTAGGAAGCAAGAAGTTAGACCCTACTTTAAGTATCAGTCTTACACAATGATCTCAGACTGAAATCATGGCGTGCATTGCTTTTGTTGCCAACAGCATGCCGTTTACCAAAAAGAGTCAAAGAAATCACCAGAAAAGAGATGTAGGTACCTTAACACAGCTTAGAAAAACAGAGACAACCTCCTCTTGGGTCTGTTACAAATCTACTTATATGTCATTTTTTTCTCTGACGTTCAGCTGAACTATCCACTGAAAAGAAAAGTTTTAGCTTCTGTGAAGTTCCATAAATGATAAATTTCTTAATGAAAAAGGCAAACAATTTAACAAAGATGAAAAGGAGAAAATATGTTATCCTTCAGTGACCTACTGTGAAATAATTGTGCTTTGGAAAAGTGCCTGCTGTCTGATTTTTAGACAAGAAAGTCTGAGATGAATTCTGTCTCCTTATCAATGCTTATGTTGTCAGAAGGGACCATTCCCTGGAGAAGGATGTCATGCTTGTTGGTAGGGTGGAGGGTCGACGAAAGAGGGGGAGGCCTTCAACGAGATGGATTGACACGGTGGCTGCGATGATGGGCTCAAGTATAGCAGGGATTGTGGGGCTGGCGCGGGATCGGGCAGTGTTTCGTTCTGCTGTGCATGGGGTCGCTATGAGTCGGAAACGACTCGATGGCACTTAACATCAACAACAACAACAACATCAATGCTTATACTTGTTAATAAGTAGCTATTGTTTTAGAGATGATAATCACAAACGGAATTTTCCTCTTGGATATTAGTGGCATAAAAATTTTCATTTTGAAAATGTCAGCACACTGCACGCAGGAAATACTTGGAGGAAGATATTCACCTATGATAAAAGCCGAATGGCAATCATATGGCATTTCTTCACCCTTGAAACAAAAAGAAAGACAGGAGGAGGGCCTACGACTTAAAAAAAAAGGAGGCAGATGAGACCCCCACACAAACCTGGTAAGAGCTGAATGCAAGAGCTTCAATTTTCAGATCACAGATTCATTTCTTCATTTCTATTTCTAATCTATCTGTGGAAATGACTCACTCTATTTCCTGGTATTGACATATTGATATTAATTTTATAGTCCTTGCTGTAAAGATGATTGTCTCTTAAAAAAAAAAAAAATAGTACTGTATTATCTGAGGGAATGGTAGTTGGGTAAATAAATTCTTAACCAATGTCCATACTGTTGAAATAGCTATCAAATTTACTTAAAATGACAAATTTTTCAATTTTTTATAGCCAGAAAACCTGGCTATGGTGTATTGGATGTCATGTAGATACAGTAATCTGTTGACTACATTGCATTTTTCACTGTTCATCTTTCTACCTTCCTTTCCCAAGTCCAGACTCAGAGCAATGCTTTCCTGGGAGAGGTAAATTAGTTCTTTCTGTTTGCAGCTATCTCAGAGGGGTCATTTGCTGAAGGCTGAATTAAAAATGAAGTTCTTAACTACTTTGTTTTGCTGATGGCTTTTTATTAAATACCAATCATTTTCCTGTCTTTTGTGCTTCTTTCAGAAAAAAAGAAAAGAAAAAAAAAAAAAAAACAGTATTGAAGGGGATGCAGCAGCATTGGAGAAATCAGTGTATCCAAACGGGCCATTCTGACAGCTCATTCGCTACCATTTCAGGAGAAATGAAAAGAAATGCACCTGCTGGAAAAAGAAGTGGTATTGCTCTGATTTTGACTTTATACTAGACGATTAGCTTCTGAAACATAACCAATATTGGCTGAAAAGCATGTATTGTCTGTCATGTATTATGGACACAGTCCTCACGTCTTCAATCACTAATTGTTTTTTTCAAAGGTCTGCTGTCCTAAGTTGGATTCATGTTCCAAAATCCAACAAAATTCTCTCCTGTGGCTCTCAATTACATAATTATGAAAGTCTGGTAAGAAACATGTAAAAAAAAAAACTTGTAACTCTAGTCATGGAATTTGCTAAGTTAAAATTTCCTCACTTTTCCTAAATCATGCTTCTTTAATTAGCCATAAGGTATTTCTAGAGCATCATCAAAATCATAAAAAATCAGGTTAAACTTAATCTTCATAGGATAAAATATTTAAACTTATGAATCAATGACTTGAAATCATTAAATTAATGGGGAAAATAATTGTGTGTGTGTGTGTGTGTGTGTGTGAATGAATAAGGAAATACAAAGAAAAATTGATGTCTTTGAATTATGGTGTTGGTGAGGAATATTGAAGATGCCATGGACCACCACAAGAATGAACAAATTTGACTTGAAAGAAGTACAGCCAGAATGCTCCTTAGAAGTGAGGATGATGAGACTTTGTCTGATGTACTTTGGACATGTTCTCAGGTGGGACCAGTTCCTGGAGAAAGACATCACCCTCGGTAAAGTAGAGGGTCAGAAAAAAAGAAGAAGACCCTCAGGTGGCTTGACACAGTAGCTGCAACAGTGGGTGCAAACATAGCAACAATTGTGCGGACGGCACAGGACCAGGCAGTGTGTCACTCTGTTGTACAGAGGGTCACTATGAATCAGAACCAACTCAGTGCCATCTAATAACAAGAAATATAGATAGACAGACAGAATAGTCATGCATATCATCACTGATATAGCATTAATAGCATTAGTTTTTTACAAGTGTAAAAATAGTTACACTTGACCAGAGAATTTCTTTATCTACAATTTCTTCATGGAGGGTGAATACAGAAAGTCAGAGACCAAAAGCACATGCAATGCTTTGCGCCATTTGCTTAGAATAGTTCATACATTTTTGTATGTTACAATTATTTCCTTCTCTTCAGTTTTCTTACTCAAGAAGCATTTCAGAAGTACCCCCTCTCAATCCTCTCTTGTTTCCTATTTCATTAAATGGCCACTTTGCATAAAATCCATAAATTTATTCCAGAGTGAATTGACATTTGAAAATTAGATGTATCACAAAGAAGAAAACAAAGGCTCTGTGTATGTGAACTCACTGACTGCTGTTTCTAGCTATCCCCCTTTTAATAAATGTCCTAAAAGAAAAAGATAAGCCTTTGAGTTTTTTTTTTTTTAAAAAAAGCAATTTTCATAAGAGAGCAAATGACTTGATGGCAGATGATTATACACAAAACATGTCAGAAAAAGTAATCTGTGCACAGTTATCAATTTGAAATTGTTTTCAGTTGGGCTGAGGTTTCCCTTTCCTTTCTGGCCATCCTTTACTGTCTAATAAATTAAGTTTAAAGATTCTTTAAAAAATAAATGTTAAAGATCCCTCAAAAATAAAATTTAAAGATTACTTCCAAATTAATTTTAAACATTCTTTTAACATACATTTTGTACCAGATAAACCGAAAAAAAAAAGATACTGGGGCATAATTTGTCTCTCCACTAGCTCACGACTTGCACTATATGAGCACCTCTTAGTAAGTACACACAGTTTGTAAATGTACTTACTCACCAGTACATCAGACGAAGTAAATGGATATATATGTGGCTATTGTACTTCTACAGATGGAGAAATTATACCCTTAAAGCACATGCATGTGGTGTTCAAGAACAACAACTGAAAAATGCAGTCTCTGTGGTACCAAAATGAATGAGAAAAAAAATGTTTAAATATTGGTCTTTCAATATATCTGTAAAGGAAAAATAACTGTCATTATTTAATACATGCCAATTGATGCCCATCAGTCCAATTTTTGAGACAAGTGGGACCCTTTTCAAACTCTAGTAACAAGTTGAACAAGCACTTTACTTCAACCCAACAAAACAGCAAGCTCTTTCTCTTTGGAATTATGTTTTTCAGAAGATTATTTTTAATTCTAGATTTATCTACGTCTATGAAATTACAAATCTCATCATGTTTGGTGGGATGGCATCATGGCCTAGAGCAAGGCTCTGGAGTCAGGCCAAAGTGGTTTGAACCCTGCTTCTGACACCTTGTACCAGTATACGCTTGGGCAAATTATTTAATGTCCCTATCCCTCAGTCTCCTCTTCTGAAATGCAGTTAATTGTAATATCTACTTTGTAGTCATAAGAACTGAGTGCTACGCAAAGTAAGTGCTCTGTATGTGTTAGATCATTCTCCTCATTATCGTTATTGGGAATTTAGAGGAATTTAGTCTTAAAAAAAAAAAAATCTCTGCCAATTGTAAAAGAACATGAATTTATTAGCATTTGTATTGAACCAGCTTCTGCGGTGACTCCAAAATTCATTTTGGCACTCATTCAATTCAGGAAGACATACCAATTACATGTATCTTGCTAGCTGGGCACTGACTGAGCTAAGGAAGCATTTTAGGTGGATTATGTCATTTTATCCTCACAATGACAGTAGAACAGGGTTTACTATCATTCCCATTTTATAGATAAGGAAACTGAGGCTTAGAGAGTTTAAATTCTAGCCCAGGCAAGCTAGTAAGAAATGGATCTGTGATAAGAACCCAGACAGTCTAAATCCAGAGCTTTCACAAACTACCTACTTGTAGCAGTTTTCTTAAATTTTATATATACTGAAAAAAAATTCCTAGGACACTATCAGCTAATAGCTAAATAAATCTTAATTCCAAAGGATGCGTGTTGAAGTTGATACCGTAGAATAAGTTTCTGCATAATGGGCTGTCACGTTGAAGCAAAACTATATACTTCAAATGTCCAAATTTCACATTGTTTGACCTTTAAAATCAGCCAAGCCTGATGGCAAGACCTCAAAAGGAGAATTTAGAGGAGGAAAGAAATAAAAACTGGTTACCTGTTGTTGCTTGAAAAGAGGGGAAGAAGTTGAGAGCCAGGAACAGCCTGAAGATCATTGTCCTAATGGTGGGCCAGAGCTCCAGCCCCTCCTCCCGTGGTGCCCAGAAAATAAGGGGAGCTGAAGAGGCTTCTGCTGAAACCTGAGAGGCTCAGTCCTCCACGGCCCCGACTTAACTCTCTTGGGGCACATGATCAAGGCACTCAAACCACAGGCATCATGACAGCAACATTTCACACAGGATATTACATTATTTTGATGACTTTAGACTTTTACCTCTTCTTTGAAAGGCAAGCCTTTTCTTGTCATTGAAAAAGAATGCTGCCCACTATATGATGGGCTCATGAGAATTATTCTCTATGAATGGGTATCAGAGTTGTGAAAAACTATGCTTGAAATTCAGCCAGAACTTAAGGGTAGACAAAAAAAACAAAAAAAAAAAAAAAAAAAAGGTACTGAAAAGATGAATAACACCTCCTGTGGAGAAAAGTCTTTCATAGGATGGGGATAGACTGTGACAATGATAATAATTAATATTGAGGAGTTAGGCAGCATCTATATCAGAGGTTAAAGGAGATACAAATATTAGGAATTTAGCTTTTGTGTTGGGTACAAGGTAGCCTTATGGAGTTTTAGCACACACTGCTCAGTTTAAGTCAAATCCTCCCCAGTTCAATTCTGGGAACTATGCCAAATACACCTCACTTGCAAGCACACAGCCAGCTGAATATCTGAAGGAAGTTCCCTAAGTGAAGGGAAGAACAAAAAACATCGTATGTTCTTAGGTGAACAGTAAGAGAAATAAAAAGTGCCTTGATAGTCATTCCATACGGAATGTCTTACTCTTTTTTTTTTTTTAATTTGGGTGAAAATTTACAGAGCAAATTCACTTTCCATGCAGCAGTTCACATACACTTTGTCTTATGACACCGACCACAATTCACCCCAATGCAACAGCTCCCCTCCCACTTCCTCCTGATAGTTACCTCTTCCCTGTGTCCATCCCTCTATGCACTCCTGCCCCCTGAGCTGTCTCCCTGTGCATACACAGCCCTTCTATTCTACCAAGATTGTTCTCTCCAAGGAGTGTATCTACCTCAGGTACATGTTCAGCTTACATGCCTGTCTTTTGTTTGGCTGGAAGCCACAGGTGTGGGTTCAGTTCCAGACCTGAAGGGCAGCTAGGGACCATAGTCTCAGTAGTTCCACCAGGCTGTATCAGACCAGCAAATCTGGTCCCCCATTTTTTGTTTTTTGTTTTTCCCCAAATGATTTTCAGTTTTGTTCCACATTGTTCTCCCTCTCTATCCAGAATCTCCTACATAGATCCCCCTCCCTACAGTAGTAGCCGGGTACCACCTAGTTCTTCTGGTCTCATAGATGGCTGCGGATCACATGGTGTACCAGTCACTAGGACTAATTCTTTCCATGAATCTTTGGTTTTCTTCATTCTTCTTTGCTCTGGTTGAGGAGAGACCCATCGTTGGATCTATTGTTGTTGTTGTTGTTATATGCCGTCGAGTCAACCCGACTCATTGCATCTAGATCATTGCAAAGCCGCTTGCAAGCTTTTAAGATCCCAGTCTCTACTTGCCAAAGTAGGAGGTGGAACAATGTTTTGTGTAGTATGTTGTGCCAATTTAGCTTGATGTCTTCTGTGACTATGGTCCCAAGCCCACAGGTTCAATTACTTGGTTCTGCTGGGTAGCTGGCTGTGACCTAGAAGTGACTACAACCTTGCCCCTTGTCATCTCTACTATACACCTGGGAATTCAGATTATGCAAATACACTTATAGGGCCATTGTCTGCCATCCCTATACATGGTCTTGAGCACACTCCCTACTTCGTAGACATACCTAATAGTTCAGCCTGTCCACCCGTCTATCCACCCGTATACCCATGTTTGCCTTCACTGACAATGCTGTACTATATGTGCAAAAGGGTTCATCTTTGTTGTCTGTACCTCCCATGTACCTCTCCATGTCTTCCTCTTCCTCAATGCCACCATGTTGATCACTCACATTTGGTACATTGCACTTCTCTTCACCCACATCAATAGTTATCTCTACCTATCTAACAGTGTTCCCTCCCCCCCCCCCAACCCTGGTAACCAACAAAGAAAATTTCCTTCCATAGATAAACCTTTCCTTGACCTTTACAATAACAGACTAATATAATATTTGTCCTTCTGAGATTAGAATATCTTACTTTTATGGTCAAAACTAAATGCAATACAAGTTATCTTATCCCACAAGAAATTATCAAGGGTTAAAAAATTCCTAAGGAGCTCTAGTGGTGCAGTGGTTAAAACATTCTGCTGTCAATGAAAAGGTCAGTGGTTCAAATCCACCAACCACTCTACGGAAAAAAAGATGAGTCAGTCTGCTTCTATAAAGATTTACAGACTTGGAAACCCTATGGGGCAGTTCTATTCTGTAATACAGAGTTGCTATGATTCAGAATCAACTTAATGGTGGTGGGTTGGGTTTGGTTTTGGTTTAATGCAAGAAAAGGCTCAAAGCTTTTTTAATGACTTAAAAGCTATGTTTGCAGCAAATGAAGGTGATTGTGATAAAGAATTTGTTCCTAGCAGGATTTGGCTGTGAGAAGTTCCTAGGTGGTGCAAAGGGTTAAGTACTCAACTACTAACCAAAGGGTTGATGATTTGAACCTTCCCAGGGACGTCTTGGAAGACACGTCTGACAATCTACTTCCAACAGGACACAGACTTGGAGCAGTTCCACTTTGCACATATGGGGTTTCCATGAGTTGGACGGCAACTAACAACGAATAGGCCATGGGAGAATAGTAGGATCCCCAAGGCCTACAACCACACTCTGCACTCCTCTCCATTGGGCAATGCCTTCTGTAGATAGGGGCATTCCACTGGCCTGGCAGACTCTGGACCCCACTGTCCTCTTCTGGCTCTTGGGTCAATGTCTTGTACCCAATGGCTTTCTCTAAACTTTTCAACATTTTTTTCTTCTTTCCTGATACGCTTAGCTTTATGTGATTAGCCTGGTTTTGTTTTGTGTGTGTATGTTTAAGATAACTTGTATTGCATTTAATTTTGACCATAAAAGTAAGACATTCCATATAGAATATTCAGAACAAATAAATATAAGTATTAAAAAAAAATCCATCCATAGTGTTACCACCCTGATACACTCACCCACTGCCATTGAGTCATTTCCAATTCATAATCACCCGATAGGAGAAAGTATAATTGCTCTATGGGTTTCCAAGTTTGAAGTCTTTACAGAAACAGACTGCCACATCTTTCTCCTGCCAAGCATCTAGTAGGTTCAGACTGCTAACCTTTCAGTTAGTGGCATTAACCACTGTGCCACCAGGGCTCCATATTCTGGTATAAGCACTGTTAACGTTCTGGTCTATTACCATTTGTTTGTCTATCAGAATTTTTACACATCTAATATTACATATTACTTATTATAATTTTTGAAGAGCTATATATGATTATTGATTATATCATGAATATTTTCCAAAGGCATTTAAGAATTCTTTATAAACATCATTTGTAATTGATACACTACAACCCTATAATCATATCATAAATCGTTTAACAATCTCCTTTTTGCTATGAGTATGAATTGACTTAACAGCGCACAACAAGTAATTGTTACCAATTTTTCATTATTTAAAAATACTACCATAAATATCTTTGATCACCAAGCAATAAATGGAAGAAACTTCATGTCTTTCTCTCCTGATCTGATCAAGGACAGATAAAAATATGATGAAGGCCCTAAAGGACCAAGCATTCTATTCTCAATCTTGTTTAATACACAGCCTGTGAGGAAGATGCTATGAGTATCTCCAGTCTACAGATGAGAAAACTGAGCCTGGAATAGGTTTATGTCTCAGGAAGTGTTGGAGCCAGGATTAGAACCTAGATCAGTCTGACCTGAACAGATAGGTTCCTAATCATGGCACTATAACACCTCTCTATTGTCAGCTTTCCCTGTATTAGAAATTCCTTGAGTACAAAAGGATAAGGGATGTGCATTATTTTTCTATCACAAGGCATCTAACACAGTGTCTTATTAGAGACTGTGTGGCTAGAGTGTTGAGAGTAAAAGAGGGAGTGGCCCAAGAGAGGTGGAATTAAACTGTGTTTCACAAAAGTGCACCTGTATATTTCAGGAGAAATTCAACATTTCTTAAATCCATGCATACTCTTGAAATTCAAGGACATACGAGTTGTGATAAATCAAATGACCTCAATCAATCAATAAGCATGCCGAGTTTCCACTATGTGGCTTATTAGAGAAAAATAAAATGCAAGTGACCAGGCTTGTTAGAGAAAAATAAAATGCACGTGACCAAATTATATAGGCTGTTTGAAACTTAAACTGAACTGAGCCTGTTAATAAGATCCTGAAAAAGAAAAAGAAGCCTTCAGGGCCTTCACCATTTACTGTTCTTCTCTGGCTAGTATGTTCTTTTACCAATCTGCCTGACTAAATTCTGCTCAACCTTTCAGGTTCAGAATAAATATACTTTCCTCAGAGATGCTTTCCTGAGCCACCATCACCCACATACATGCGCTTCCCCACCTCCAACTCATCTAAACCAGGTCTCCCTGCTATAACCTCCATCCCACTCTTTACACAGTGTGGTTACATGCCATGAAGGAAAAGTAACTACATATTTGGGCCTTTGTTTGTTTAATTACGTTTCCTTGTTTGACTATAAACATTAGGAGGGTGGAGTCCATGTTTCTCTTTCACAATGGAAAGTCCTCTGTCCAGCACATAGTGAGTGCTCAATATGGTATTTACTAAGTGAATGAACCACTCCATCATCACTTTCTTGACCTCCAATAGTTAGGGCTGCGATTGTGGATTCTTTTCTCCGGGACCCTGAACAAAGTAATCTTCTCCTGCCTGGTTCCCTCACAAGATGACACTACAAATACTCCAGCACAACACACATCTCGTCACTAGGAAGAACTTGAGCACTGTGTCCCTGTCTGTTCACTTACCCTGAGTGTCATAGTTAAAGTGTGTGTCAGTTTGGCTGGGCCTGGTTTGGAG